ATCTTATCTCTCAAATGCCCCAATCCCTGAGTTTCTCTTCGGTTTGGCCAATGGGAGGTGCTGGGGGAAGATCAGAAGATGGGAGAAGACAAGCACTTCACCTCTCACTACTCTCTAATCATCCTCTCCACGAGGTCACAGCATCAGCCCTGTAGTAGTTCTTCCTAGGCTTGGTCATTTTGGGGTTACCCCTACTTCATTATTTTAGTTGTTTTTTTTTTCAGGGACACTTTACCTCCCAGCCCTTTTTATTTTCTATTTTGAGACAGATCGCCAGGCCAGCCTCAAATTTGCAATCCTTCTGCCTTAGCCTCCCAAGTGGCTACATTTGATATTTTATTTTTTAAAAATATTTTTAGTTGTTGATAGACCTTTATTTTATTTACTCATTTATATGTGGTGCTGAGAATCAAACCCAGAGCTTCACACGTGTGAGGCAAGGGCTCTACTGCTGAGCTACAACTCCAGCCCTATTACATTATTTTTTAAAAATTTTGGTGCATTATAATTATACATAATAGGGGCTGGGGATGTGGCTCAAGTGGTAGCGCGCTCGCCTGGCATGCGTGCGGCCCGGGTTCGAGCCTCAGCACCACATACAAACAAAGATGTTGTGTCCGCCGATAACTAAAAAAATAAATAAATATTAAAAATTCTCTCCCTCTCTCAGTCTCTCTTTAAAAAAAATAATTATACATAATAGTGGGATTCATCATGCCATATTCATGAATGTACATAATCTGATCAATCTCCTTCCCTAGTACCTTCACTTTTCCTCTCCTCGCTCCCACTTCATTTGCTCTACTCTAATGATCTCTCTTCTGTTATTATTATTATTATGATTAAAATTAGTGCACTATCATTATGTGTATGAAGGATCCACTGTGGTATATTTGTACATGGATATAGCATAATTTGGTAGACTTCATTCTCTAGTTCTTCCCCAAGTTATATCTGATTTTCTAATGTATATAAGTTTCTTTGGGTTTATTGGGCAAGAAGTACCAGTGTAATAGATCAGAGTGATATTCTCTAGAAGGCCAGAAGGATTAAATTCTCTGCAGGTAAGATTATGGCAGAGAGATGAATAGGTGCCACAGCCCCGGGGCTAGACAAGTAAAGGTACATTGCTATCTTGGAAATGCCTTTTTTCCTGACTGGACCCTCATGGATAAAACAGCCATCATTAACCACAGTAATATCAGGATGAACTAAATAAAATTTATTTTATATAATCTATAGATATAATTTATATTTATATAATATATATACTGGTTCCCTTCAGTCCCCAGCATTTCCCCTTTTCCTTCCTCTCTCTCTCCGCCATTCCCTTCCCTCTACTCTACAGAGCTTTCTACTATTTACCTTTAGTTATTTATTTTAATTAGCATCTTGTAGATATACACGATGGTGGGATTGACTATGGTATGTTCATTTATGTAATAGAAAAGTTAGGTCAGATCTACACTTAATGTGTATGAAGGAAGCATATCTGTCTTACTTTCTGTCCCAGTCCCCTCACTGAGCTTGCAAAATACCATGAGAGAATAAGGTTATTGCCAGGTGCTGCGGTGGCACATGTCTGTAATCCCAGCAACTGGGGTGGGGGCGGAGGTAGGAGGGGAAGGCAGGACCATCACCAGTTCAAAGCCAGTCTGGGCACATTAGTGAGACTCTGTCTCAAAAAATAAAAAAGACTGGGGATATAGTTCAGTGGTAGAGAGTCTCTGGGTCCAATTCTTTTTTTTTTCTTTCTTTCTTTCTTTATTTTTATGTGGTGCTGAGGATCGAATCCAGGGCCTCATGTGCGTGTGAGGCAAGCGCTCTACCACTGAGCTACAATCCCGGCCTCAGCTCCAATTCTTAATACTGGGGAAAAAAAAAAAAGATTGTATTTTTAGCAGGGGATTGGTAACTGGGAGAGGAGATAAGGGAATACATTAAGAGCTGGAAATACATTAAATCAGATGCTAGTTACATGTAAATGTAAAATTTGTCAAGCTGTACACTTAAATTTGTGAATTCTACCTGAGTTTTTATATTTAAAAAGAAGAAAAAAAAAAGCAATACAAAATGCTTGGTACAGAGTAGCCATTAAGAGAATATTTATAGAACACATGAATATGGGACTTCAGTTCTCCAATTTTGTTTCATTTATTTCTTTGGTAATACTAACAAAAGTTTAGAAACTTTTTGATGTTAAACCATGTATCCAAGTGACAAAGTTTAAAAGCACATCTACTTAGACTAATGTAGTTTATTTAGCTCTATTAGAAACAAAACACTGTATACCATGTCAGTGTATTTAAACTATTTCATATTTCTGAAACATTCATTCCATGTATACATCTATGTATTTATAAATCTATATATTCAAAGATTTACTTTAGTCAGATAAATACTGATCACCCCTTTCAAGTGCCCAAGTGGACATGGTAGAGGACACATAGGAGACAGGTGCTACCTTCAGAGGAAATCAGTCTCTTGGTCTGCTGTTTGTGGAAGCCAGAACACAAATGGAGGCCAAGGCCAGACTAGTCAATTTGGAAAGTGGGACAGATAAAATCTACATCACTCATCAATATTCCCTGTGAAATTTGATTTCATTATTACTGGTTGGCAATTCTTTAGTCCAACAATTCATTGCTCATACAAGGTGCAAATCTAAAGGAATGTGTAAAGTTCATGTACAGGCTCACTTCATGCTAATCTGAACACCCTAATACAAAAATTTACAGTTACTGAGCATTTTTTACATCAGGAAGGCAGATCATTTGTTTTGGGTTATTTTGATGACAAGTATTATAGCTGTTTCACAATGAATTGGGGTGACATTTCAGGATCATGCAGAGGGCTTGAGCCATTTGGCTTTTCTGAAATTCCCCCTTCCCAACTAAATATTACCTACATGCTATGTGTGGACTTCCTTCTTCATTTATTCATTCAAGCCTCAAATAATTGTACTCCTACTATGTATTAGGTTTTTATATTATGTACAGGAAATGAGAAAAAAATTCACAGCCTCTTCCATATTTATGGCATGTATTGCCCCTGGTTTCTTCCCCCGTTCATAATTTCATCTTTTTTTTTATCAGTTCAGACTATTGCTTGCTGACATAAGGTGACCTCGGGTAACCTTTTTCTAAGTCCTAATGCTTTGCCTTTCAGCATAAGTTAAAAAAAGCAGCAGCATCTGGATCCTAGTCTCAATAAAATGCCTTCCAACAGCTCAAAGCAAGGTTTGTTTTTGTTTTAATTTGGAGGGTTTCAAGTCCAACTTGGTTCTTTTATTTACCTCCTGGCAGCTTCATAACCAGGGAGCAATAACTCCCTTATCTGTAGGCTGTTTAATAACTATATAGTACCACTCTGGGAGCAATAGAGTAAGGCCTCTTTCCAGATGCCATGTTTTAAGACTTTCAGCTGGAAAGACCTTCACTATGTGAAATTTATTTTGATTATTTTAAATCAAGTTTTGGACTTCTTATTCAAGGAACAAAATATTGGCCTCTGGCTTTCTGCCTCCTGTGTTCTGGCTCTGGGCCATATGATCATCTAATTTGTACTTTTTCAGGCAGACAGAACGTGAAAAACTGACCAATGTAGCTTCAATAGCAATAAGCACATCAAGTATGTAACAGGAATTATGAATACTGCTATAGAAATCAATTTTTTAGAAGTCACCTCCCATAGGTGGGGAGGGAGGGAGAAGGTGCTGGGAATTATATTGTTATATTGTGTATTGTGGGCATGTATGAACATGTAACAACAAATTCCATCAATATGTATAACTATCATGCAATAATTTTAAAATGTGGGGAGAAAAAAAAGTCACCTCCCATTTCATAAAGCATAGGTGTCTCTTGCTTCCTCTCTGTCATTCTTAGTCAGGTTCTCTTTGAAAGTTCTGTGTCTAAGAGGCACCAGACACAGAGTTGCCCTGGGTTTTGTTGCCTACAGGTAATTATGCTAAAAGGTTATAGTAGTAGATATTATTATCCTTACATACATTATGCATTCTAGAGCAGAAGGGTTTTGCTGGAAAGCTTCACTGTTAGTTATGATTTACATTTTTTACTAGATACTTTTCTTTGGTCTTTGAAGACAAACATGTTAAGATGCCTTTATACATCAACAGTAAAGCAAAAAAAAAAAAAAAAAAAAAAACCCACAAAACAGTCTGTGTGCTTGAGTACTTTTTTAACAAGGCAGACATTGCTTTAAAACAGGGTTTGTCTTTGCTACAGGACCCAATCTATTTGGAACTGTTAGGGTGAGGAAACAGGGCAGAAGTGAAACTTTTTGTGCTATCCCATCTGTAATTTAAAATATAAAATGCTGTGGCTGGGAATGTAGCTCAGCAATAAACACATACTTAGCATGCACCAGGCCCTGGGTTCAACCCTCGGCACACATACACAAACGAATAAACAAAACACATCTGGAATTAAAATTATTTACTGCAAATCCAATTGTTTTCTTTTGCATGCTGTTCTTTTTGAGGGCCTTGCACTGCTAGTACTGAAGAATGTGCTTAGTTGGCCTACTGAATAATCCAGTACAGTGGGTATCCCACTGAGGTCATCTCTAGCTGGGGTTTCAGGGGATGGAAGAGATGGACTCGTGACGGGAGTGAGCGCTGCAGGGAAAGCCTGCCCTAATCCAGCGCATCAGGAGTCTAGGTAGGCCAGGTGCGAGTGGCTGGCATCCTGAGGGCCTGTCCTGGTGTCATCGGCTTGATTTGAGACTGGTCTGAGCTGCTTCTTCCGGGCTGCTTTAGAAGGCTGCGGTCGGGTCGGGTCAGGTGAGGTGACGTGAGCGTGGGCGTTTGAGGACAAAAGTCGTTGGCAGCTCAGTTTTCTGGGAGAGGGCCGGGCAGCCAGGCTGCAGCACCTGGGTCAGCCGCGCGAGCCCAGCACCTGGGCCGGCAGCGCCTCGGACTACGTCGCTCGCCCGGCCCGGACTACGGTTCCCGGCGTGCTCCGCTCTCTCTGGCCTAGCCGGGCAGCCCGGCGTGCACCGCGCGGGCAAGCCCGACAGCCGGGCACCCAGCTCCGCCAGCTTCGCGCCCCGCCGGGGACGTCGGCCTTCTCTTGTCTTCCCTGGTGTTCCTCTTTATCCCAACTACCTAGGACTCAGCTCCACAAATGGAAAGCAGCTTCCCAAATTGAACACTGTAGTCCACGCCAGCCAATACCCTGAGCGGATTACGGTCACGTGACAGGACTGAGGCGGAGCTCTGGTCTCTCTGGTTCTCCAGGGTTCGCTAGAGGGCGGGCGGTCCAGTGGAGGACTCCCTACATTCTTCCTCCATTACCTCACTGCCTCCGGTGGCTGCTGGGATACCGGAGGACTTGGGTCCCGGCTCGACTCAGTCCTCCAGCCGCCCGGGAAATACCTCCAATTCTTCCCGGCTGCCGCCGCCGCCCCGCCGTTTCTTCCTTCGCCCGCTCGCCGACCTCCTTCGCCCCGCCCGGTCTGCGCCTCGCGTCCGGCCAGCCCGCCGGCCCGCTTCTCTCGGGAGCCCCCACCCAGGCGCATGGCTCCATGAAGCAGGAGGAGGAGGAGGCAGAGCGCGAGAGGTCCCGTCCGCCCCGGCCGCGTCTGGGCCAGGAGAAAAGGTGGGAAAGTCGGACTGCGCCGCGCCCTCCTCCTCCCTCGCTGCCGGTCCAGGCCTTCCCTGGGCCGTCGTCGCCGGATTCCCCGGGCCTGCTTCTGTTGGGGCGGGCGGAGGGACCGCGAGTGGGTCCCCGGGGTCCTGGAGCGAGGATCCCGGGGCAGCGTGGGGGAGGGGCTCCCAGGCGCGGAGCTGGGAGGCAGGCGGAGCCTCGGGCCGCGAGTCCCCGCCGAGGGCAGGGGGTCGTGAGTCAGTGTCAGGGAGCGGATGGGCGGTCGCCCCTGCCCGGGCCGCGAGGCAAAGCTCCAGCCGCAGCTGTTTCTGCACTCCCTCCAGGAAACAGTGTCGGGTCTGTGTAAAGTTTGGTGGTCTCCGGCGCCGCCTGGCGGCCCCCACCCACGGGCCCGCCGCCCCCTCCCCCGCCCGGCGTCTGGATTCCACCCCCGCGGCTCGGCCCAAGCTGCTCTACCCGTCACTCTTTGGTCTCCCCAACTCCCCCAGCGCCCGGTAGTCCTCTGCCCCACATCCTTTTGCCTTACCTTTTCACCTTTCCCCCCTGCCTGCTTTGCCCCTCCCCGCTCCGGCCTCTCCTTTCCCCACACTGTCTTCGTTCTTTTCTTGCTTAACTCTTCACGCGCGCTTTTCTCTTCCTCTTCTCCTTTTTTTCCAACCCCACCGAAGTTCCTCCTTCCACATTCATCCCGTCATCCCCCTTTCCACTATCCCTCTACCTTACACACTTTGGGTTTTCTGTCTCTCCTTCTCGGGCTGTGGATTTTGCCCTTCATTCCTTGCCCTCCTCCATTCCCTGTCCTGATCTGAACTCCTTCCTCTCTTTGCCATGTTCCTTCACCCTTATCCCTCTGGGCCTATCCTTTTTCACTGCCCTCTCCTAGGATAGAGTGGGTGGGGCCTGGATCCTTCTGTTTACATCTTTGGGAATAGCTAAATTCTCTGTTGCTGGAGAATGGGGAGAGTTGGTGAAGAGGTTATGAACAGATCTATGCAAGACTAAGAGGATGAATGACTCTTACCAACACTTACCATATTGTTCTAGTGTAACAAGATGGTCTGCCTTTAGGTCCCTGACCCTGACACGTCGTTGTTCAGTAATTATTCGGTACTTTTTGCAGAGGATTTGAGAGTATATTTATATTCAGAAACCATTGCAGAATCTCGAAATGGTATTTCCTGACCTGAGAGCAAGTTTTGACCTAAATTGGTGGTGGGGGAAGTTTTAATGTGTGTCTCATGTTGGAGTGCAATGCAACCTTTGATCCTCAGTGTCCTCCCATGGTGATGACGCTCAGGATGAGGTGATTGAAGATATAGGACTGTTGTTGCTGCATAGTATTTAGTGTTTGAAATGTTTAAATGTAAGGAGAGCCTGTTCTCCTGCTGTTTTCTTTTTCCAGAAATTGCTCTGTTGTGTTGTAATTTCTCAAAAAAACTGACTCTGTACTACCTGGATTTTGTGTATTCATTCCACTTGTATTTCCATCTTAGGTACAGGAAGAAGGAATGGAATTGGAAGGAAGAAAATTCATTCCAGAGACAGAGTAGCTCCCCTCCTTTGTTGTAGCTGTTCCTCTGACAATACAGACTTTCTGTTTTCAGTGAGTATTACCTTGGACATATTTAAAGTGGAATTTTGTTGCTGGTTTTGGTTTTAAGCCTGTGTTTGAATTTTGGTGTAGGTGTATTTTGTTTTCTTGTATTTCTCTATTCCATGAAGTTTTTCTATTTAATCTTTTTAAAAGTAACGTAAATGTGCAAAGACAAGTTTATTTTTCATAAACCCGCTAGAGTGACCTAGATGGTAGTGGAGCATTATATTTTCATTTCTAGTTTAATCCCTTTCCAAATTTACTTAATACTTATTTATTAGTACAGGGGATTGAACCCAGGGGTACTTCACCACTAAGCCACATCCCCAGCCCTTTTTATTTGAGACAGGCTCTTGTTAAGATGCTTAGGGCCTCATTAAATTGCTGAGACTGGCCTTGAACTTTCTATCCTCCTGCCTCAGCTTCCTGAGTCACTGGGATTACAGATGTGCACCGACATGCCCAGTTCCCTTAATTATTCACTTTTAAAGACAAAAGAGGTTGTCTTAATTCTCGGATTAGTTGACTCAGAGGTTGATGAAGTTCCGGATCAATTTTTGGTTCTTGTTCATAATACTTTTAATCTTTATAAATTTTTGGAACATTTTGCTCTAAATTTGCTATGGTGATACTTTTTTCTTGAAAGTCCCATCACAGATTGGAAAATAATTTTAATTCTTTGTGAACTTTAAATAAAGTTCTGGGAAAAAATATATTACTGCTGGCAGTATTGTGGGGACTGGAGATGTAGCTGTGAGAACTTTGCCTAGCACTTGTGAGAGTTTGGGTTGTATAATCAGCAGGATGAGAATCATTTTTTTCTACTAATGACAGTACACTAACACT